TTGTGCCGTTAATGCCTTGCGCTTCCGGCGGCCTCTGAGCTTAAGTCCTTCAAATCTTTGCAAGGAGGAGCCTCCTCCTGTCCTTTTCAGATCGACTAATTGCCCACGAACACTTTTTCATTTTGCTTATACGAAAATTTTCCTTTTTTTCGAAGTCTTGACTGTCAAGCTAGCATTGAAAAGTGTCCGGAACCGTTTCCAGTCAAAAAATGAGGATTTTCACCTTGACTACGCTTGAAAAAGGCCTAGATGTCTGGCTTTTTACGTCCTCAACCTATCTGTACGCTATCGAAGCAACTAGCCGTCGCATACGACCACATCACGTTGAAAGCACGCCATCCCGTCCGATCTGGCAAGTTAAGCAACGTTGAGAGCCGGTAGTACTTGGATCGGAGACGGCTTGGGAATTCGGCTTGTCGTATGCTTCTTTTTGCATAAAATTATGTTTCATAATCAGATCTAACCAGTATTATGAAGATATGAGATCTTTTGAATTTTTTTTTCGAAAATTTGGTCTAAAACTTTTTTTAGTGGGCTCTTTCAGTTTCAATTCGAATTTTCAGAAACTCTCAGGTTTTAAAACTATGTTCCTCACTTTTAGACGGTTGTCAGCTTCGAAACTGCTCAGATCTGAAAAAGAAAATCTTCGAAAGTTTTTTTTCAAAGCTTCAAAAACATTTTTGAAAGCCAACTGTCCAAATAGAAGATCATAATGATGACTCAAAGTTTCAGGGCTCATGCCGAAGCAGTAGCTAAAGCTTGATTGGCCTCGTGCCCTAACACGAATTATTATTATAAATTCAATCACCCGCCGGCCTCCCGAAGGCTCTGTGGGTTTCACAGCAGAGCAGGCCTCCGAAAAAGGCGCCAATGAACCTCGAATCTCCTTCCATTTGTTCCTCGCCCTCGCGGGTTATAAATTGTCAGAGTCGGCTGGATCCGTTTTTTTTTCTTCAATTTTTTTTTTCTCGGTAGATTTTGGGGCTCTGATCCCTGATTTTTTCCAACTAGAAATCACTGAGGAGCTATTTTTTCGCGTCATGTGCGCTCAAATGAGAATTTGATTTTTAGCGCTCTGATGACAAATGTCTCTACTCAACTTTTAATCTCTAAAAAAATTTCTGTGTCCCCTAAAAGCTGTTATTTCGCTTCAGTTACGCTCCAATGATAATTCTGGCTTTTTTGATTTTTTCGTCGGTTCCCGCCTATTTCAAAGATCAAAAGTGATTTTCAGTCAAAGGTATTTTTTTGAAATGACGTCAAGTGCGCTCCGATGACAATTCTTTTTTTCCGGCTTTTTATGATTTTGAAGCTTCTCAAGACAGCTTTTTCTGAATTTTTTGAATGAAAAAATTTCATTTTTTTTTTTTTCATTCAAAAAAACCTCGATAATTCGTCATTTTTTCTCCTAATCGACTCGCGGAAATTCAATAATTCAGTCACATGTCCAAAACAACCGAAATCAACTCAAAAAGGTGCAAAGAACGGGAAAACATGTGTAATTCCATACATAGTTGCGAGGAAGCATTCGCGTTTTAATTTGAGAATAAGAATTAGGACATTTCCGGGCTCATATATTGGTTTGGCAACGTGTGTGTGTATGTATTTGACGCCTAGTAGCCTCGGGGGCGATGAATTGGTCATTCGTCGGCTTTTTCTCACTTTTCGGTTTCTATTTAACTTTTTGAGTTTCTGGACCATTGTTTTTAGCTTTTCCTGCTTTTATATAAATGTCGAGGTCATGCTTTTCATTCGATAGATTTTTTATTGATTTTTTTTTGTACGGTGATTTTTCTTTTTCGTTGATTATCGAAGGCTTGAACTAGAAAAATGAGATTTTACAAAAATCTTATTCACCGCAGAAAGCCGCTACGCAGCCGCGGCGCATGACTTTTTTTTTTCATTTTCAAAAGTTAATTTTTTTTCCGTTCACTTGTTCCAATTTTTCTTGGCTCTGAGATTTCGGAAAAAAATATTTTTTTACAAAGTTTTTAGGAAGTTTTTTTCATATTTACCTGATTGTATTCCGTCAATTTAGTCTTGTCTGGAAAAAAAAAAAAACTTCTTTTCGGCTTCTATTAAATTTTTTTAAGTTTCTGAATCAGCCTATTAACTTTTTTTAGGTTATCTATGTCGCAGGTCAAACTTTTTCAATCGGCAAAAAAATGTTTTTTTGATTTTTTTATTATACGGTTATCCTTCTATTTTTCCAGTTTGAAAGGCTTGAAAAAAAAGAAACTTGTTTCCAGAATTTTGCGAACCTCTACGCGACCGCGTCGCATGACTCATTTTTCTATATTTCTAGAATGTTATTTTTTATCATTTTTCAGCCCTCAAATATCTTGTAAAAAAAGGTTTTTCGAAGGATTTTCACATATTTTTTATGTTTGCCTTTATTCACTTGGCCAATTTAGGTTTGATCTGTGATAAATGAAGAAATTTGATCTGATTTAAATTCTTCAACTTATCGAAGCGAGACTTTATCCATTGAATAGTATCGGCCCTTCTCTCCAAGTATTTTTTTAAAAAAAGCGGCTAATCGAGCTTCCTGTTTCTCGAGGGTGAAGCCGGAATGGAAATAACAAACAAACTTTTTTTTTCCACTACAGCCTTTTTCGAATGTTTTCAAGTTCAGTTGCTATTTTTACAAAATTTTCGGTTTTCGAATTTTCCTTTCCCATTTTTTTTCTTCTGGTTATCTCTGGCAATGATTTCAACAAAAAAAAAACTGCATAAAAAACTGCAAAAAAAAAAACTGCATAAACGCTCGAATTTTGAGAAAAAAATTCAAAAACCGCGACGCGACCGCATCGCTTCAGCCATTCCAAAACTGATTTTTTTGAGAGCATTTCTGCGTTTTTTTCTTTGGAATTTTTTTGCCCAAAAAAATTGCTTGCTGAACACCTCAAATCCACTAGAATCTTTTTAAATTCATGAAAAATCTGTCATTTTTTTAAAGCTGTCCAGTTTAAGATGCTGTTTTTAAGGACTTTTCATTCTTTTCAAGCTATTCTTTGAATGATTTTTTTTTAATTCGGATCTTCAAATCTGCCCATATTTTTGCCCTAAAATTGCTCGCTGAACACCTCAAATCCCCTGGAATCCTTCTAAATTCCTCGAAACGTGTCACTTTCAGCAAGTGGGGGCGAAAAAAGGAAAAAGGAGGAAAGAAAATAAAGTGCAAACGAGCTTTTGCCGGCGTTTATTTATTTGCATGTGATTAGGGACATTGCAACATGAGAATTTCTTCGGGTGGGCCCCGGATTTTACCTTTTTTTTCTGAATTTTCTGATTTGAATGGTAGTAGTTTCATTGAGAGATCAGTGTAAAGTATGCTTAGATTTAAAATTTTTGAAAAAATTGAATAATTTCCTAAATTACTGCAGTTTTGGAGATATGATTTTTTTCGATTTTTGTTTTTTTGAGTGGTTTTTTTCAAAGTTCTATTGATTTTTTTGATTTTTTTTCTGTATTATTTATATGTGATAAACAGAGCTCTTAGTAATCAGAAAAATGTTGAAAAAAATAATTATAAAAAAATCAGAAAAAAATGAAAAAAAGTTCAATGGTAGATTTTTTTGATCTTTTTTTCGAATTTTTTTAAAAATTCCACTGAAATTCAATGGTTCCTTTATTTTTTTTCCAGCCAAAAATACGATACTTCTTTTTCCCATTTACTAGAAAATTTGTTCAAAAAGATCGTAATTGTATGAAAATTTCGATTTCGAGACCTTCTTTTTTTGAATAAAAAGTAGTCTAAACTTTTCTCAGGTCTTATACCAAAAATTCTCAATTTTATAATTTTTTTCTTGATTTCATTTTTTTCATGATCCGAAACTCTGAACCATTAGATTTTTTGCCGCGAAAAATTTTTGCGATCCGTTTTTTCGTGGATTTTAGAGCTTTTACATTATTACCATGTGCGATTAAAAGAACTTTCCTTTTCAAAACCCAAGAACTCATAGAAATTAAAATGGAAAAACCAAAAAAAGCCAAAAAAATTCGAAAAGAAGGAAACAACCCGCTGTTTTTTTTTCCTTACTAATCTTCTTCTCTAAATGGATATTGAGGGCTATAGAAAGGCGCAGAAAAAAAGGCGGCCCACGTCATTCAAGTTCCTTTGGCTTCTTTTCCAAGTATCAATAAACGGAGAAATTATCAAATTTTGTTTTTTTGAACACCTGAACACTTTCAATATAAAAATTTGATGATTATTGACTATTCTTAAGTAAATTTTTTTAAAATTTCCCTGATGACTGATTTTATTATTATTGATGATTCATTGTATTTTTCTACTATGAGTTTTTTTAAAAACTTTGACTTTTTTTCTCTTTTTTTCAAAAAAATTTTTGTTTCACAATCTCATGAATCAATATTTCAATATTTTTCGGACAGTATAAAAAAACCATTTATCCGTAGAGCATAAATGTTATAAAAAAATAGCCGAGCGTCAGATTTTTTTAAAAATATCCTTTTTTTCCCTATATAGTTTTTTTTCAATTTTTCTTTTCTTTGATATTTTGTTCGTGGAGCTAACTTGCGGTCATGAAGTTCACGGATTTAAGTTTTTTTTTTGGAACTTTTTTTCCACTCAAGTCCTATATCAGTTTGTCTGTAGAGCAGTATTGGTTTTATAAAGTTAATTTTGAAGTTTTTTTAAAAACTTTTTTTGACATTTTCCTGTTCCATCAGACTCATTTTTTTGAATTTTAAATCAGTTGATTTTTTTAAAGGAAAAATAAGATTCTTCTTTTTCGAAACCCCTCTTATTCGCGCCTATTTTCTCATAATACTCTCTCGAAACCTTGAAAAATTTCAGGCCCTCCAATAAAAAGTCCAAAATCCAAGCTCCTCTGGCACCACCCACAAAAATACTCACGATAGGTCCAAAAAAAGAGAAAAGCAGTGCATTTGGGGGCGATGAGCGATGCTCGAACAACGTGTCGAGAACTTCAGCGACGAAACGACGACGAAAACCTTCCAAAAACCCGAATCGGAGCATGACGGGGCGGTTGGGCGCGGCGGTGCTGCTCCTGTTCTGCGCGATCCTTGGCCCAGGCCATGCCGACGGTAAGCCAGAGGACGAGGAGGTGTTGGAGGCGCCTCGGGTCGGTATTCCGCTGGTGCGGAACGACGAGTTGCACGAGGACAACGCCGACCCCTGGTACACCGAGTCCTATCAGAGTTATATTCAAGCGCTCGCTTGTAAGTTGGTTGGGAAGAGATTGGTGGCAAGTTTGATTTTGTTTGTAGATCTAATGGGGAAGTGCAAAAGTCGAGACTTTCACTCAAAACGAAATAAATTTCAATATTTTAAGCGCTTTTTTTATTTCACCTTTAAAAGTTCATCATTTTTTCGAAGAAAATAATTGGCAATAAAAAATTGCACGGAAGGAAATCCGAACCAGCGTCATCAGCTCCATGGCCCAGACCGCTAACCACTACACCACAACGCTTGCTCGCAGCTGGAGTGTGCCCTCGCAAGACATTCCCTCTTTTGTTCCAATGCATTTTGCAAGTTTTGAGGCGCCATAACTCGGCTAGAACCAAAAAGACGCACTTTTTTTTTCAATTTCTTTGGATTCAGGATGTCCAAAAAAGTCTATAAACCAAGTTTTATTGAATTCCAATACCTCGAACTTTTGCACTTCCCGTGTTGGCTCAGGCTTTGATCGAATAAGAAAAGTTCAAGTCAGGAGAGAAAATTTCTAAAAGATGTATAGTCCATTCGCCGCGACTTGAAACTTTCTGCTTCTCTGCGTCTCTCTGTTCCCTCAGCGGCGAGGTCAGAGAAGCATAAAAATAGCACGTAAACGTGAGAGGGCCGCCGAGAGACGAGGAAAGCGCAGAGAAGTCTGGCCCTTTCAAGTCGGGAAAAACGGACTATGTTATCCAAAAAAAAAATTAAAATACGTTTTGGGTCTATTATTTTAATGAAGTAAGCTTTGAAAGTACCACACATTTCCTACAGGTCAACCAGAGTTTGCGTTTAGAAACTTATCAAACCATTTTTTTTCTTTAGAGAAGGGTGAGGTACAATGAGTCAAGTTGTTTGAACTTCAATGAGCTTGACTCTTAAAGATTGACTCAAAAAGTTCTCAAGACATATTTTAGACCCAGCCCGATTGGTAGTACGACCGGACGCCTCCACGGTCGCCGACGAGTCCAGGGTTTCTTTTTTCTGCAGGGCTGATGGGAACCCACTTCCCAACGTCGTCTGGCGCGTCAACGGCAAGCCGATCACTGATCAACGGTATCAGAATTATCAATTCTCTATGTTTTTAATTTTTCGAGCTTTTTTTCTCTTCAAGGGAAAAACACACGGGCAGAAAGTTCATCTTTTTGTTTTGCAAAATTTAAAAAATAATGATTTTTCGAAAAATCGCCAAAAAAATTGGTTCAAATTTTTTTCAAATTTTATGTCTATCATTTACGATATCCTCTTGTAACTGCTCACCTCTCTCAGGTGCTCTCCGCATTTTTTTCGGACAATACTGATCACTAAGTGATCACTAAAAGTAGCTTCAGAGCCTCTTTAGGGGATCACCTCATGAACTCACAATTGTCTCGAGAGAGTGGTCACCCATTGAAAAAATCGAAAATTTATGTTTTTTTTTTTTTTATGAACTCTCGAATTTCCAGATTCACCATCAAATCGCTACCAACGGGACTTTCCACCCTTCGGGTGGACCCGGTGAGGCGGGACGACAACGGGACCGTCGTGTCCTGCTCTGCGGACAACGGCGTCGCCAACCCCGTCGTCACCGAAGCCATGCTCACCGTCATTCCGAGAGGTTCCTTTTTTTGTGGTCCCTATAGGGGCAACCTTAGCAACTCTTGGAGGTTACCCTCGAGAGATCGCTTCACGAACCTCTATAGGGGCCACTAAAACTTGCAAAAGTGTCTCTATAGGGGTTTTAAGGGGATTGCCTTTATTCTTAAAATCTTTTCCCCAATGTTTTTCGAAGCCGTTGATAAAATTTTGTCTTTTGAGACCAGAAAGAGTACGTTTCAAAAGCTATACAAATGCATTTTTTTCCAAGTTTTAATATTTGTATTCCCATAGCCAGCCTTTTACCTATTTTACTAATTTTTTGGAAAGTTATGATTTTCTGGGAGGTTTTTGAATTGATGAACCAAAGTTTAGCTGTTGAATTTGTTGGAAATGATCGTTTTTGTTAGATTTTCTCACGAAATTTGGTTATGAAATCATTTTTTACAGACAAACTCCCATCGGGCTTCCCGCAAATCGACCTCCATCCTACATTGAAGTCGGTCGAACAAGGAAAAACGGCCTACGTTTCCTGTCGAGTGAGTTTTTTCGACTTTTGGCTCAACTGGTTAGAGGCTTGCTTCTCGTCAGATGGGTCTTTGGTTCAAACTTTTTCTGATTCTGAAAATATTCAGGTGCGAGGGGAACCCCGGGCCAAAGTTCTATGGCTCCGCGACTTGATCCCCCTGGACATTCGGGCCGAAGGGCGCTACTCTGTTTCGACGATTGGAAATCCTGGTTTGAACTATTTTCCTTCTAAATATAGGCTTCTATGTCCTGGAAGGAGAAGTAAATTGCCACCTTCGGCTCCTAAAAGCTTTCTAGATAAGTTGGAAAACGTTTCGAAAAAGGGCCAAAAAATCAAAATTTGAACATTTTTTGAACTTCGAGTTGATCTTACAATGTTGAACTAAAGATGTGGAGGAAGGTTATTAAATTTTTTTTTCTTTTTCATGAGTTGGGATTTTGAAGTTTTTGATATCCTTTTTGGACAGTTAAGAATTTTTTGTGAGTTCTATGAGTAGTCAAAAAAATTTTTTAGGGTTTTTTGTAGCCATCCAGGAGGGACTTGAGAATTTTTTAGGCCTCCATGAGGTATTCGAAATCGAAAAATGGGTTTTTTCAAACCCCATTTGGAATGGCTCTAAAACTTTCCCGGTTTCGCTAGTAATAGAAGCTGGCTTACAGTAACTGAATTAACTACAGTAATCTACAGTAGTTTCAACTATTAGAAACTTGCTATAGAACTTTTCTATGTCCTAGCGAGAACCGTTTTGGGTCCGGCGCTTTTTTAAAAACAGACTTTTTGCGTTGAGCCAATCCCCTTGCGGCCATTTGAGGTTTCAAAAGACGAATTCTAACGAACAGAGAGACTTATTTCACTAGATGATTATAACTTTCTTGGCGAAAAATTGAGAAATTGTTCGGGGATCCGAACCAGCGACCCTCTGAGCAATGGCCTAAACCCTTACCAACTGAGCCATATGACAAGGACAATTCTAGGTGCTCTGATGATCCAACATGCACGCGAAGAGGACCAGGGGAAGTACGAATGTGTCGCCAGGAACGATCACGGTGTCGTCCATTCGAAAGCCGCTCATCTTTACGTCAAAGGTACGTTTTTCCTCCGCATTTTATTGATTTTTCATTTAATCGATCAATCAATATCAATCAATATTTACTTTTTTTTTTTCGTGATGTTACCAGACTATATTGAAGGTGTTGTTGTCAAGCTGATTTTTGGCTTTTCTGAGAAAATTTGAAGTGCTATCTTAAGGGTTCCTCGAAGAGACATCTCTGAAATTCTGAAGGAATATCCTAATCGGAAGATCCTGAAGTGGCCGCTATAGAGTTGACTGGCTTCACAGTAACATTAATTTCATTGAATGAACTTCCGGACCTTTCTGAGGAGTTCTAGGGATCCCTTAAGAGTGCACAGACCCCTAAAGTGATCACTAGAAATGCACCGACACGTCCACGTTCCCTATATTATGTTGATAGTTGCATACGATTCCAATGCACTGTAGTAATCCTCAAAAAAACCTTAAATGACCACTCGAACAAAATGAGAAAGTTTTCGGCGCACATTCGCGCGCTAAATATTCATGACAAGAGCCGAAAATTAATGAATTTTGATGAGATCATTTCCGCTGGGCGAGGCCCGGATGCCCGTCCTGGCAGATGTCTCGTTGATCAACTTTTTCTCGATTTTCATTTTTTTTTTTCCATTTATGAGATACTTTTCCTAAATTGTTGACAATGAAAAAAATTATTTTGAGCCAATTTTTCTTTGTTGTTCTTCTGGAAGAGTACACCATTTTCAGGTTTCCGATTTTGTTTACTTTTCATTACCTTGGCACTTCGTAGTCATGTTGAGCACATCTGTTATTTGAGCCTCCAAAATTGAAACCTTCAACTGCGCTCCATGGATAACTCCTATAACTTTTGTGCAATTTTTTGAATATATTTTTTTTAAATTCCTGTAATCTTAATCTACTGTAAAAGTTTTTTTTTTGATTATTTTTCTTCATAATTTTCCATGTTTTTGAGATGAAACAGGAAATTAAAGCCGCTATTCTCAAATTATCGGAGTAATACGAAGTTTTTCGAAGAAAGTTTTTGTTTATTCTGAATCCTTGATCTCAAATTTTGAAAATGATTTGCAAACTTGGCTTGGATGGTAGAGCGCTTGTAGATAGATATAAATACGTTGTGGGACTTTATTCAATTAAATTATTTATTTTTGCTGTTTTCTCTAGACTTTTTCACCAATTCTTGTAGTCATAGAAGTTGTTACTCCCAGCTCATGATCAATAAAAAAAAGCAACGAATCGGATTCCAGTTGAAAGAGTTTGACTTTCCTATTTTCCTGCAGCATACGGATAATTTACGGTCTTTTATCAAACATTTCTGAGAAGGTCTGTGATTTTTCCCGCCCAAAAAACTTCGATCTTTCTTTTTTTGCTTAAAAAAACCGCAAGCTTGATTATTTACAATTGTTAAAATATTTTTTTTCTCATTTTTTTTGCGCTTTTTAGAAATTTTTCCAGTCAAAGAAGTTTGATTTTTCTTTTTTACCTTGATCAGGTTTCCATCGACTTTTTTTTTTCATTTTTTGCCCTGAATTTTTCCAAAAAGCCTCACAAGGGAAGTCAATATACTTTCCTGAAAACTGCCTAGAACACTCCTTGATGTACCAGAAGAAAGTTCTGAAAGTCTCAACCTGCACAAACTTCTACTTTACGAGAAAAGACGCTGCAAGTTTAAAGAAAACGCTCAAAATTCATTAAATTGAGCTACTTAGGAGCTTTATTTCTTGAGAATTGGGAAGTGCAGGTTAATACTTTCAGAATCGTTTTCTGGTACATCTAGGAACCTTTTGGCCAATTTTTAGGAACCTCAAAGTAAAATCACTTTACTTATCAGTCAAAATAGACGCAAACCGGATCATCTACAGTTTTTCATCAACTGTTTTCCAATTTTTCCAAGACCTTCTCCGAAATTTTCAACAAGTTCACTCTTTCAATTCTTCCTTGGAAAAGCCGCAAATCAGATCCGAACCGGAGGAGCATCGGCAGTTATTGTTGATGAGCCTCTGCGGTCAGTGAAGTGAAGCATCTGTGCTTTATGGGCTGTAGCACATCTTGTCCTTCCCGTTGCTCTTCACGACCAATCGCTCATCGTTATGTACGGAGAGATCCCCTTTGGTTTATCGTTTTTCGTCCCCCCTCTCCACAGAAACTCATTCGAACATCGCAATTGACTTTCTCTCTCTTTCCTCCAGTTTGCCAGGATCATTCATTTGCCTCGGTCATTTGTCCACCTCCACATGTTCTCTCGGTGAAATGTGGGCTTCCGATCGAACTTTTCTATTTTTTGGAAAAGATTCAGTCTAGTCGAAAAATGGCAAAAATCCTTTCGCAGCTGGTGAGAACCTGTGACCTTTCTGATTGACTTTTGATTGAGCTAATCAGCGATTTTGTTTGGCAAAAATATATAACGTTTTTTTTACAAAGTTTTAACAGACACTTCTCATACTGGAAGCTGATCGAAGCGAGCAAAAATATTTACAACTTAGGAGGGATTGAACCTGTGACCCTTCTGATGACAAAAAAAAAGCAGCTACCAACTGCGCCAACTCCTTTTCAAGACATTCTGTTGACGTATCTTCAATATTCAATCATCTAGATTTGATTCCCTTCTGTCGGGAAATGGCAAAAAAGTTTCAACCGCCAGACGGATTCGAACCTGGGAGTCTTTTGAGAATAGGCAAAGTCTTTACCGACTGCGCCAATCGACATTTTTCCTCCGATTGGCTTAAAAACTTTCCAAACTCAATTTTCTTCCATAAGTTGTTATTATTTTGCCCTGCGAAGTTTGGCTCAGCTGTTAGAGGGCTTGTCTAGCGTTCTCAAGGTCATAGGTTCGAGTCCCACGAACGGAAAAACTTTTTTGCTTTTTTTATTTTTGTTTTCTCTTTTCCAAAATGAAGAGAAATCTATCTGCAAACCTTCCAAATAATTATCCATAGAGCGCAAAAGTCATCAACTTGTCGCGGCTATTTCTTCCCAGGTTTTTTTTATCCATAGAGCGCAAAAGCCACCAACTTGTCGCGGCTGTTTTTTCTCAGTTTTTTTTTCGATTCTTTCTGAAATTGTGATTCTTGTAATGGAAAAATAGAAGATTACCAATGAGATCCTATGGATCCCACGAACTTAATCGCATTATCCCGCAAGGCCGTTGTTTTCTGGACTATCAAGTTGCTTCCTCGCCGCTTCCGGTTGATCCAAGCTGTCTCCCAAATCTTCCTCCAAGGCGTCCATTTTCAAATTTTGCATTTGAATACGCAACAGTTGAAATTGTGGCGAAGAAAAGTTTCATTAAAACCCGAATTTATGAGCCATAAACGTTGGGGGCCGGAGCGGGTCTGGGCCGCAAATCAAACAGCACACAGCTGAGCCCACAGCTTCCGCTTCTTTTCCATATCCTCCTTATTTATTTTTTCTACCTAGTCATGTCTTTTCACTGTCTTGACGTTATCCCTAAGATTTTTAGGGCTTTAAAAACCCGAATTACTCCTCCTGACAATTTAGGTCATTTCACTTTTCGGTTGGGAACTGCCTGAAAATCTGTCAAAACACTCCTTAGAGTACCAGAAAACGATTCTGAAAGTCACAACTTCCCAATTTTCGAGAAATAGGGTCTCAAAGTCAAAAAATACCTTAAAAGGCCATTTTTGAAGCTTCGAGCCCTTATTTTGGGAAAAATAGAAAGTTTTACGGATTGAGGGTTTCAGAATCTTCTTCTGACACATAAAGGAGTGTTCTGGCCAACTTTCAGGAAAATTCCAACTGCAAAAAAAAGCTTTTTTATAAAGCTTTCTAGCTTCAAAAGAAAACTGGAAAAGGTTTTCTGCATAACTTTTCGTTTTTATTTTCAAACTAAGTTTTTTTTTTGATCCTTTTTTTCCTCAATTTTCAAGTTTCAGAAAATTTCCCTTAATAATAACTCTTCTAAAAGAAGAAATTCCAAGTTCAAGATTTTTTTTTTTGGAAAAAAACCCATTTTAGTTCAATTTTTCGTGTTTTACCGTTTTATAAAAAAAGCTTATCATGATTAAATTAGACAGCAAAAAAATAGTCTAGCTACCACCGGGAATCGAACCTGTAACCCCTCAGACCAGAGAAAAAAAGCACTATCAAAGCTTCAAATGATCTCAGTGAAGCCTAGTATTGAAAAAAATTCATTTTTCGTTTGAAAAATATGTCATAAAGGGATTTTTTTATAAAAAAATGCTTTTTTTCCGTTAATTTTTTTTGGATTTTCTGTCATAAGAAGTACCCATCCTGATTGGATTAAATTGCAAAAAAACAGTTTCGCGCTCACCGGGATTCGAACCTGTGACCCCTCAGACCGGAGAAAAAGCGCTACCAAAACTTCAAATCAATATTTCTCCGAAAAACTTCATTTAGAAGTTTTTTATCCATTATTTTTGAATGGGACCTCAAAAAGATATCAGTTTTCTCAAAAAATAGCTTAATCATGAGAGAAAATTTGACGTAAGATCCTGAATGAGGAATGAAATCTGAATTTTCCGCCGCTGTTTCTTTTGTCGGCCCCGATTATTAATTAATCAGTGGTGCTTTCTTCAATTTTTTTTCCGCCGTTTTTTTTTCTCAATGGGAATTTCCCCGAGTTGTATAGTCATGAGAATCGTTATTTTTACTTTCTCCAAGTCGATTTCTTGGCTAATTCATTAGAGAGCTCCCCACTAATTATGAAATGATCCAATTATCGGCGGATAATTTCGTTGCCAGGGTCACTCTGTTGCTCTTTCCTGCCCTTTTCGGCTCGTTTCTGGTCCTGATTTTGGTTTTGGACCCCTTTTTTGGGCTTTCTAATGTTTTTTGGCCTTATTCATACTGGAAATTTGGAAATAATGACCAAAAATGTATTATAATCAGTTTTTCCATTGAAAATAAGGCTCGTCCTGGCTCTCGTTTTGGTTTTAGACCCCTTTTTGGCTTGTTTTTTTATGTTTTTTTTGGCCTTATTTATACTGGAAATTTGGAAATAATGACCAAAAAAATGTATTCTAACGAGTTTTTTTTTTCAAAAAATCAGAAAAACCTGGACCTTTTTTTCCTTCAAAGAGAGTGTATGTCACATTTTTAGTCGTATGCGATTTTTATAATTCAATAAAATCTTATAATTTAACCATTTTTGGTCAAAGGTCCGAAATTTTCAAGTCTTTTTTCGGCAGGCGCAGCTTCATTCTGTACCTTTAACCATTCCAAATGCGGCCATTTTTTGAGAATATCCATGAATTTCTCAAAGTATGTTTGCGCTGTAGCCTTTAACTTACAATATTCTCGCCAAAATTCCGTTTTCTCTGTGCTCTTTTGTGTTCATATGCTTTTTCCTTGTTTCTATGACCTATCCGGTGAGAGAAAAGAGAGCGCAGACAGGACAGATTGTTCAAGAAATGGAGAATGACTCCTAAAAATAAACCCTTCCACTCATCGAAAAATACAAGAGGAGGGCATTTTTGTGTTTTAACGTAAGCAAATCCGGGCGGTGCAGCCTGTGCCGGGCAGACCCGGGCTTTGAGCCTCATTTTTTGTGCGGGCTTGGGCCAGGCCAGGCTTCGAATAAAAGGGCCGAACGCTCTTGACGGACGTCTCGCTAACTGGCAAGCAGGGACCACCTCGGGCTTTGAAAATGCCCGGGGGCTGACCGGCCAGCCCTTGCACTGGGAAAAGGAGAGTCTCCTGAGAATCTCTAAATCCCCTTCGAAGCCTATAAATCAGATGAGATTGAACAATTTACACCATTTCCACGCTGTTGCAACACAAGCCGTGCTCATTTGCATGTCCCCCTTGGATGAGCCCAATGAACACAAATTGACGGGATCGGCGCTCAAAACAAAAGGTGTCGCAATTCGAGAGTTCCAAGGCGAACATTTACGAGGCTCTCGGCAACATTTGTTCCCCTCCGCCCATCGAAAAATGATGATGCCGCCAGTCGGCTCCTCATGACGAATCGCTCCACATTTTTCGCCTCGTGATCCTCTTCTCCTTCTTGTCCTTCTCCACGGTGTTCTTTTCGTACATTTTTGGAACAACGGGGAACGCCAGATTGGTCCCTAGAGGGGCAGCCATAGGCCCGATACCTATTGCGGGCACTAAAGCTTGCAAAAGTGGTCAATCTAGGGGTCTTTTTGTCATTCTGATCTTATCAAAGGTAAAAAAAAACCCTGTAGGAGCTACTTGAGGGGCTCAGAATCCAGGGGCCACCTAATTTTCAGTCTTCTTCGTACATTTTTGGAACATTTGGCAACGTGAGAGTGGTCCCTAGAGGGGCAGCCGAAGGCCCGCTACCTTCCCCTATAGTGGGCTCTAAAGCTTGCAAAAGTGGCCACTCTGGGGGGCATGCACGTCTTTCAACTTTTATAATCTTATCAAAAAAACTTAAAAAAACCCTAAAGGGGCTACTTAAGGCGTAGGGATCAGGAGCCGCCTAACTTTCAGTCTTCTTCGTACACTTTCGGAACAACTGAGAACGCCAGAGTGGTCCCTAGAGGGGCAAGCCTTAGGCGTTCTTGATGGTTGCCCTTTAACTCCCCTATAGTGGGCACTAAAGCTTGCTCAATTGGCCACTCTAGGGTAGCATACTTATCAAAAAGTTAAAAACCCTATAGGGACCCCTCAAGCTTCAGAGTCTCAGAATCCACCTTGTTTTTAGTCCTCTACGGCGCACTATTTTGTCCCCTTCGTGGAGCTTTTGCTCCTAAACCCTCTACGGACCACTCTGGCGTTCCCAAGAAAATGAAGGCTCTGGATTTTCTCAGAAATTCAAGACATTTTTTTGATTTTTTTTGTTATTTTTCTAAAATTTGGCCTCAGAAAATGGAAAAATCCTTCTAGTTAATCTATTTTTCGAATTTTTGAAGTTTTATGAATAAAAATTAAGGGATCACTTTAGGGATTTTCTTGTCATTATTCGAATGCTTTTGCAATCTGACCGGAAAATCTTCAATTTCGAAAAATCTTGCGATATTTTTTATGAGGTTTTCGCGCTCCATTGAGAATTTTCAGAACTGCGATTTTTAAACTTGTGAAACTGTCCTAAAAAGGTCAGACAAACTTTCAAAAACCTCTTAAGGGGTCACTTACTATAATTTCTAGAAGGTTTTTATGGTTTATTTTTTTCACTAGTCGTATATTTTTTTCGAAATTTAAGGGGTCACTTAATATTTTAAAAAGTTAAGGTGCCCCTTAAGGGATCACTTAATATTTTTAGGAAGTTTTTATCGTTTCTTTTCCACTAGTCGTACATATTTTCCGAAATTTCGCAGCTTATTTCTATCAAAATGACGGAATAAATAATTAATATGGAGTCTGGCCGGAGGATTTCTTTAAAAAGCTTCTGAATTTTATTCTATAGAATATATTCGAGCCGATTTCTTCCGAAAAAATGACAACAGATTTAGTGCGCCGCCTGGCGAGGGAGGGACATGGCCATAAAAAACCGTAATTCATTTACATATGAATCATTTGTGGCTCCCAGGGCCATTCCGTTTCCTTTTTTTCGCGCCTTGACCTTCAATTTTCGACGACGATTTGTAGAGTGTGTAACTTTTTCCCGAATGTCTTGAGGAATCAAAAAGATTCCTCCCGAATTCGGCTTCTCCCTCGAGACTCTTCCACATCTCAATGAATTACCCAATTCTCTGCTCCCTTCTTTTTGTTGAGGTCAATTTGAAGTCATTCTATATTTTTCATTCCAAAAAAATCGAAAAAAATCAAGTAATTGTAAGTTTTTCGTAGATCGCGCTCCACTGCGAATATCATGAAACTCTTGTTTTTTTGCCCGACTTTTTTTGGTTTTCTATGTTTTTTTTCAAAAAAACTTGAATTATTAACTTCTTAACAGTTTCATTTTTCTAAATGGTTTTTTTAGGAAACGAGCCTAAAATTTAGATAATGAGCTTTCTAATATTTCGGCTACAAACTGATTTTTCCAATTTTTCGGCCCAATTCTAACGCCCCTAGAGGGATTTTTTTCCAAATCGGAAGTTTTTTTCTTCAATTTCTCTATTCTAGACTCATTTCCTAACATTCATTGACTTCATTTTATATTTCATTCTGAAGTAAAATCCAAAAAAATAGAAATATCAAAAAAAGAAGCCGCTGTAGTTTGCGCTCTATTGCTAAAAAAACACTTTTTTTATTCCCAGTTATTTCATTTTTCGAGAGCCGGATTGAACTTGAAAATCTCTAAAATGTTTTTCATTTCATTATTTTTTTTCTGAAATTTCAATTTTTTTAACTGATTTCCAACTCATAAATGTGAACTTCAAGTTCTGAGTGCAAGCTCATATTTTCATCTCTTAAGTGACTACTTTCCAAAAAAATAACCTGTTGTATTTTTTTATAACACTTTTTTTGGGAGTTTTTCGAGTTTTGGACTAATTTTTTTCAATTTTTCTAAATTTTATACATCGATATCTAAAAACACGAGAGTTTTTTTGAAAGTATCTGAAAAAAATTTTTATTTTTTTAAGTTTGTCAGTTTTTGACAAATTTTTTTCGTGATCCCTGAAGTGGTCACTTAATTTCAATTTTTCATCAAATTAAATATCTATAATGTTTCATTTTCACATAACGCTTCTCAACAGATACCTTCAAATTCCCTTAAGAGTCCACTTGGCTTTTATTTATCTCATTTTGAAGAACCAGCCCAGAAGCCCCTTCAGACTGGAAGGAGGCGTCCGTTTTATAATTGGATTTATTTATTTCTGAAGCCGTTCTTCTTCGGACGTTCGGTTTCGGTTTCCGTTCTTTTATTTCAAATTTTGAGCAAATTCTTTTTTGTTGGATCTACTATAACTTTTTTTAATGTCTTTTTTTTCATTTCTTGCCTTTTTTTCTTGACAGTATTTATTTCGATCGTTCTCGCCTTCCTCAAAAAAATTGAAAAACCCTCAGAAATGATATGAATAAAATCAATGGGCGACACGATTCCAACCATGATCCACCGGTACTTGTTGATCTCGTTGATCATCTCCAGCGGCTTGGCCTTCCTGGACAACACTCTTCCGCTTCATTTGTTCACTAATTTACAGCGAGGCCCTGAGAGCAGCAGTGTTGAGCCGACAGGTTCAAAAATCTAAAATCTTGAATTTAAAAAAAAAAAGTGTTAAAAAAAATTGAAAAATATAAGAAAATATTGAAAATTCTGAAAAATATAAGAAAAAGTCTGTAAAAATTCAATTTCCAGTCGTAAATTTTTGAGCTTCAGTTTTTATCAGCGCAAGAATGGCACTAAGCGTTGCGGGTTTTCGAACGCGCCCGACTTGAAACTACTTGCGCGCAAAGATATAATTTTGACCGAGATGCTCCCTCAACTCTTTGAGCCATTCCAAGTGCGACCACGGCATGTGATTTTTCTAGAATTTTTCAAGATTTTCAAGAAAATATTATTTTTGACCTTTTTCAAAACCAAAAATCTTTCTTTCTCAGAATTCAAACCAAGATGAAGTTTTGGGTAGTTTCTGGATTTTTTTTTTGTTTGAAAACTTTTTTTCGCATTTCAAAGGTTTATTGACTACTACCAACGCCTTCTAGGAATTTTTTTAGCTGAAAAAAATATCAATAATGATGATAAAAGAAGGCTTCTGTATGATGGGAAATAACCAAAACAAGTCGTTTTTTTTTGTTTTTGTTATCCTTTTATGAGCGTGGATGATATTGAAGTCTTCTAGGATTTCCTAAAAGTTCAAAAAAAAAAAAACTGAAACTGTCTTATTTCTCTGCGCCCCGGTGAGAGAAAAGAGAGCGCAGACAGGTCAGAGTTTTTCGAGTCGTAAAGCCGAAAATCAGTTTGACAAGGTCTTACGAAGTTTTTTTATTGTTTGAAAAAGTTCATCGCCTAGTCGATTATATCTATGAATAAAAAAAAATAAATATTTATCTATTGATTTATTGAATGTAAAAATCAATAGAAAGCTATGAAAAACACGTTCAAACTTCAATTTCTCTCATTTCAGTCAGACGAGTCCCGCCGTATTTTTCCTACAAACTCGAGCGAAAATACGTCGTCGGCGTCGGCGGCAGCATCAATCTGACATGTGTCGCCGTCGGCTACCCCATGCCGAGGGTTTTTTGGAAGAAAAGCGATCAAGGTTTGGTTCATTTTGACAAGATATGAAAAGGAGGCGAGAGAGAATGGTAAGCAAGAGAGACGGCAGAGAAGGCAGAGTTCTCTCCTTCTCTGGCGTCTCTACAGGCCGCCGCTGATCTCTTATTTTTGACGGTTTTGAAGCTTAATTTTAAGTCCAATCAAAAGCTTGTGAGAGAGCATGGAAGACAGGAGAGACGGCAGAGAAGGCAGAGTTCTCTCTTTCTCTGGCCTCTCTACAAGTCGCAGCTGATCTCTTACTTTCGAAAACATTGATACCGGATTTTGTATTCTATTGATAGCAGGCGAGAGAACATGGCAATCTGGAGAGGCGGCACAGAAGTCAGAGTACTCTACTTCTCTGGCGTCTCTTCAAACCGCCGTTGATCTCTTACTTATCCTTACCTAACCCTTATATAGACAGTTTTTTTTGTTTAGAAATCTCAATTTTAACTTGATAAAAAGGTGGATTTCCTCAAAATAACCTGAGGGAAAAAGAAAATCTCTTCAGAAGTCCTCGACGACCCATCCACATCTCCAGTCGGCAAGAACGTTCTGACCCTTTCCAACGTCGAACAAACGGAAAATTTCACCTGCGTCGCCGTCAGTGCTCTCGGAAACATCGAAGCCACCACCACTGTCATTGCCAAACGTTGGTCTTCCTTCTATTTTCAAAGAAATATTTGAAAAATTACAGCCCTTCCCCCAGCTCCAAAAGACGTCCAAGTGATTGCGGTCACGTCGGAGTCGGTCACTCTTCGCTGGGAGCCGCCGATTACCGACCTGCCCATCTCCAAGTACATCGTCAAGTACCGACAGAAGTGAGTGAAGTGGAAAAAAGTCCACTGTAATGTAGAAAATCCAGAAAAACCGCTTCTAAACGGAATTAGAAACGCCGGGGTCGGGTTTAGGCGAAAAAGAGGCTTTTTAGGGGTTAAGTTTAGGTTTTAGGACTTGAGAGTGGACCCTTCAGGGGTTAGGGGAAAATAGCGGGGAAAAAAGTGGTCCCTAAAGGGTTAAAATTCAGGTGGACCCTATTCCCCTATAGGGCCACTTCTGCGAACTTTAGCGGTCCCTAGAGAAGTCCCTAGAGAGGAACCTTCAAGAACCACTCTGGTTGCTTCTATAGGGACCACTTCAGTCCTTGAAGCTTCTATAACTGGGAAAATTTCTAGTGGCCACTAAAGAGGCTCGCCGAGGACTACTAGGAGAAGACACTAAAGCGGCCACTGAACTCACTTCTATAGTTTCCACTATGAAGGTTCTTTATTTAGTGGCCACTTCAGTAGTTTTTCATCCAGTATTCCTTCCAGTAACTCTGATGATTTTAAAACAAACAGATTGGACCAGTTATGTGGATCCATTGACCCCTAAAGTGGCCACTAAAATTTTTAGTGGTCTAGTGGTAGCACTTAGACCTCTATAATGGCCACTAATTTCTAACCCCTTAAGTGGCCGCTAGTTTGACTATTATAGTTGCCACTAAAACTTCAAAACCCTCTAGTGGCCACTAAAAATTTTTGAAAAAAGTTAGGTCAACTTTGACCCCCATTTTTGAAAGAAGTTTTTTCACAACCTGATCAAAATTTTACAAGTTTTGTGTGGATTTCCGTGTGAGTGTTCTTCAAAAAGTCCACTAACAGTTTGACGTGTTCTTCTTCTTTTCTTAATCGCACCAATGTTTTCCTCAGAAGTGGTCTCACCACGACTTCTTCTTCTTCTTCTTCCACTCCTTCTCCTACCGATTCTGTCGCCTTTGGGTGAGTGTCCGAGTCATTTTTTGCATGGATGTGGTTGGTTTTGAATGTTTTTGAAGCATTTTCGGACTTTTGAGCAGACAAATTGTCAGGAAATCGATAATTTTTTGCTTTCGGATCTTTCTTGATCTCTCAAAAGTTACTCCTTCAGATACGCCGAATCCAGGACCGCCCGTGGAAAAACGCTGGAAACTCTCGAAACGAACATCGTTATTGATGGACTGCAACCATTCCAGGTATTTTTTATCATTACGGGTTGAAAAAATCTGACCTGTCTGTGCTCTCTTTTCTCTGGCTGTGAAGGTGAAAGAGCAACACGGCGCAGAGAAGTCAGACTTTTTTAAAAATTTAATAGCCCGAGGTGTTCAAGTTCAATTGAAAATGACAATTTTCATCATTTTGCTGGAAGTGGCTGTTTTTCAACTTCAAATATGCTCTATCGATAATTCCACTCCTTTTAAGGAATTAAAACATTAAACTACATCTGAAAAGTTTTATTATTGAAAAAAATACGCATAGTCAAATCACTTGCAGCTCTACGAGTTCACCGTTCAAACGATGAGCGAAGTTGGGCCGGGTGTGACGTCACTACCCACCGAAGCGCAGACCGCCGAAGATGTCCCAAGCTCGCCGCCGAACTACGCCCAAGCCAGAAGCCTCAACAGGTCGGTTTTCTGATTTTCAGTTTTTGGGGTCAAAGGTTCGCGCAAGTCCTTTACGGTCGGGTGCAGGGACCGCTACGCATTTTCCTCAATAATCAGGGTGCTGGAAAATGATAATTTTTGAAGAGATGCGATTCTGGTGAAATGGTCGGCAAGCGATCGACCCAACGGGCAGATTCTCGGCTACCGTGTCAGGTACACTTCGGCCGACCCGGAATTGTCCTTGGATCAGTGGAAAAAGGTTTATTTTCACATTTCAAAATGGAACAATTATTATAGGCAAAGTCGGAAGGACCCTTTAGGGGCCCCTTGAGCGTCCGTCACCTTTTTTTGAGGCTCTTTAGACCTCCAAGAAAGAAAGACTCGAAAAAGGCCTCAAAACGGAACCATTTTAGCGGCCATTTTGCATCCGTTTTCCGCACTTCCGACTTTGGCAGTGTATATCATACGATTCGTAGATTTTTTTAAATTCATTAGGTTCCAATCTTTTTACTATCACTGTTTAATTTCGAGAAGATAAAAAATAGAAATGCTCGCCCAAAAAAATCCGAAATTCCAGCACGAAACAAAGGCGGATGAGCTGATGGCGACCCTGTACGAGCTCGAGCCGGACACGAAATATTTCATCCGAGTTACGGCCCGAAATTCCAAAGGCGAATCTCCAGTCAGCAACCTCGTGACTGTATCTACCAAGCAAGGAAGTTGGTCTTTTTCCTCATAACCGTCTGACCCGTCTGCGCTCTCTTCTCTCTCATCGGGAAGAGAGCTCAGAGAAGATGGATAGTTTCATGAGGTAGCGTATGGCGAACTGTATTTTAAGATCAGGGTCTAAAAAAAAAGCCGTGGTATTTTTTGGAAAGTGTGCTCCGACGCTATATGTGTTATTTTTACATTTCTCATTTTTGTAAAGCTTCAGACACGGTTTTTTTATTTATTTCTAAAAAATGATCAAAATGACGTCCTACTTTTATTTTCCATTCACGACGACTCGGAACAGTCTGACCTGTCTGCGCTTTCTTTTCTCTCAACTGAGATGTCAGAGAGCATGAGAGCGCAGAGAAATGAGACTTTTCAGAGTTGCAGTGAATGAAGTATACACCCAAACCGAAAAAAAAGTAAATTTTTCAGTCCCCGGACAACCGACGCGTCTGAAAGCATCCGCCTTGGATTCACGAAGGATCCAGCTCACCTGGGATAAGCCGCTTTTCTCAACTCCTATCACAGGTGATTTTTGTCGGAATTTTTCTTAAAGAAGTCATTTTTTCAGGTTATACAATCCGATACAACACGTCGGATGGCGAAAAAGAGCTGACTTTGACGCCGCCTCTGGAGAAACATGTCGTCAGTGGACTTCTACCGGACCGTTTTTATGCCTTCCGGTGAGGATTTGAATCATTTTTGAAGCGTTTACTATACATTCTTCAATCGACATGGCTTGAATCTGTCTGACTTATCTGCGCTCTCTTTTTCTCTCACCGGCGAGGTCATAAACTTTAAAAAAAGAGAGAAAATGAAGGCAAAAAAAAGCGCTGTTTGGAACCGTAGCGAATATAAAATATTCAGTTTGAGTTTTTAAGGATTAGGAATGATTTTAGGGTCTTAATGAACACTAAATTTTCTTATTACATTTTTTTTTACTTTTTACATTTTTTCCCAGGGTTGCCGCAATATCGGCTCGAGGAGAAGGCGAATTCACGGAACCGGTCAGCGAGAAGACCATCGCTTCCAGTAAGTTTTTTGCTTTTTTCAAAATTTTTTTTGTTATTTTTGTCGTCCTGATGTTATGAGAAAAAATAGCCGCTCAAAGCTTTCACAGTTGCGCTCTATTGATAACTTGAAGAAAACTGAAATATCGCTCATGAGACTTCAGAAGCGCTCTCTAAAGAAAAAAGCTTCCAAGAGCGGAAGATCAAATTTTTATCGGTAGAGCAACCTTGACCAAAAGTTTGAGCCGTGGCTATTTTTTTTTCAAATTTATTTTGTGTTATATTCATCGTGGTGATGTACAAGCACGGCAAAAGTTGATGAGAAAAAATAGCCGCCTAAAATAATCACAGTTGCGCTCTAATGATAACTTAAGGAAAAGAGAGCTGAAATATCGCTCAGGAGACTTTAGAAGTGCTCTCTGAAGAAAAGGGCTTCCAAAAGTGCGAAGAATCAAAATTTTATCACAATTATCAGTAGAGCAACCTTGACCAAAATTTTGAGCCGCCATTTTTTTTAGCTTTTTTGAGTTTGATTTTTTTCTCTAAGAAATACTCAATTTTTGTAGTTTTTAAAGTTTTTCAGATGGTTTATCGATTTTTTTCCTGACAATTTTTCAGTAGAAATTCTCATTTTTCAAAATAAAGTAATAAATTCAGTCACGCCTATTTTTGCTCAAGCTTGATTTTTTCTGTCGTCCAGTGATAGTGCTCGTTTTTTCCAGTACCGCTAGCCGCCCCAATCGTCACCGACCTGACCTCCCCGACGTCCAAATCACTGCGCATCAACTGGAGTGCTCCAAACGCGACCCAGCAGAATGGCGAGCTCGTCGCCTACAAGCTGACTTTCCGTGTCGTGACGTCGAACTACTCTGCGTCGATCCTGACGTCTTCAAGCGACGAATACGACGACGGCGAGGAGGATGACGTCGATGAGGCGAAGATGTTGTCCGATGACGTGATTGTTGGCGCGAATGTGACGTCATATGTGATCGAGAATCTGACGCCGTGGACGACGTACGAAGTCGTCGTCTCCGCGGCTACAGATGACGGATTCGGTCCGGAAAGCTCACCCAAACGCATGCAAACTCTAGAAGATGGTTAGTTATACTATTTGACTTTTTGGAGTTTTCAGGTGGCTCGTCTGATGAGGACGTTTACTTGGGTGGGTTTGGTGTTGTCTTGTGGGATTTGAAGTTTCGGAATAGCCTGGACAGATGAGAAGTATGGTGGGTTCACCAATGGTTCAGGGAAAAGCTTCAGAAGATGGGATTTTTCAGGGTTATACAAAAGTTCAGCGATTCGGGGTTCAAGGAAGTTTTTCATTATGGACAGGGCTGTGAGATTACGGTAGCTACGGTAGAAATGACTAAAAATGTGAGGATACTGGCTATAAAGGGCTGGAAAGGACTGAAGAAAATAAATTGGAAAATATTTTTAATATGAAGTTCATTTTTTGAGCGCTTCCGATGATTTCTTGATGATTTTTCAGCTGAAAAAACCAAAACTTCACATTTCCAGGAGGCGCTCTCCATGGAGCGCATTTTATTGAGTATTTTTTTAAGGCTGTTTTTTCAATCGAAAATTTTTCATCTTTGTCGGTTTTTTATATGGGAAAGACCTCTTATTTTCATGATCCCACAGTATTTCTCCATAGAGCGCAGTTGCTAACGTTTTTTCGATTTCAAAGATTTTTTTAAACTCACATTCAAATTGATGGAGCGTAATTTCTGTAAATTCCTCTGTTTTTATGGGGTTTTCCGATAAACTTTATAAAAGTATCGAAAATAAATTTCAAATATTCTCAACTCCAATTTTTTTTACTCTCCCATAAGGTCGTCCTGACGGTACTATTCAACCCAAATTTAAACTTCTCAGAAAAACTTGAGAAAAAAAGAGCTCGCCATGGAGCGTACTTTCTGGAACTTTCTCTATTTTTCGAGTTTTTTCAATAGGTATCAATAACACTCGAAAATGAATTCCAAATTTCCCTAATTCAAGCCTTCTTACTCTCCCATAAGATCATCCTGACGCTACTATTCAACCCAAATTGAAATATTCTCCGTTCAAACCTCGACAAGGGAGCTTCGTCTTGACTCATGTAGACCCTGGAGGCCACTTCTTCAACGGGCCTCCTTGTACTCTCCCAAAGCGGAATTGGATTCCGGTTGGATGTTCTCGACGGAGCGAAGATGTGTGTGTTCTTCTCAGCCACCACAAAATGAATTGAACACTAGAAAGAGAGAGGGAGTGAGGCCAAATGGCGAAAACACGAGTCCCTTGCGGGCTTGGATTCGGAAGACGTTCGTCTTTCAACACGAACCTTCAGAATCGTCTTGGATGTGTGGAGTTTGCTTGCCTTTTTTGTGTTTTTTGTACCTTTTTGATTTGTTTGGTCATTTAAAAGCAATTTTGGGAAATTTTAAAGGCGCAGGTACCGTTAAAATTAGTCATCTGGACCGCTAAGAAAAAAACTGATTTCGAAATTTTTTTTATCAGAGAAGAGATCGCTTGAAATGAAGCTTTCTTTGAAATTAGTTCTTTTAACAGAAAAATTAAGATTTTTTTCGGACGAAAAATTTTTCGTCTCGAGACCTTTTTATTGTTTTCCATGCACCTATTTTCAAGATTTTTTTAGTCAGTTTTTGTAACCGATACCTTTTTTTAATAATTTTTTTCCTTTTTTTGCAAGATCCCATGCCTTTTTTTGGAAGCTTCTCTAGAAAAGCCAAATGATTCCAAATTTTAATATTTTTTTTCTTTATTTTGTAACTGAAGAACTAGAGTACCTTAGAAAAAAAAAGGATTTCGAAATATTTTTGATGAATCATGGGAAGAAGCTCAAAAATTGAAAAAGTTATAAAAGATTTCTCATTCGCTTTGTGGAGATCCTAGTGCTTGAAAAAAATTAAATCTTTTTTTCTGGATTTTTTTTTTTGAGACTTTTCCTGTAAAAAGCGGTCCATAAGAGCCTTTCTTACGAAATTCGGGTTTCTGTCTCGATTTAAAAATCTCGAGATTACGGTAGCTACGGTAGAAAGATAAACCTCTCATTTTTGCACACTTTTTGACTTATCTTGTCATGACCATTTTTAAAGGCTCATGTGGCTTTCAAACCCGGAAAAACCTTCTAAACGGCTCTTCGTGTGACTTTTCAATGCTCCTTTAAAGCACTTTTCAACAGACTCGAAAAAAATTTTTGTTTTGAAGCTTCACACGAGTGCATCTAGACCAAATGGACCCTCCGAATTAGCATGTCTATACGGCTCCTCAAACCGAGATGTGAAATACGGTATGGGGCATCAAGGAGGAAGCGTTCCACCAGCTGTTTGTCGGGCCCTTGAGCCTGACCCCCCACCCCCATATGTCCCATCTGATCCCCATCTCTCTGGTAGCAACATTCAATCTCCCAAAAAAGGCACTTTGGCCGCCTCTGAGACGAGATTGATGTAGTGTGTATTTGGCCTCGTGATTTATGGACCCACCGGCTTTTCTTTCTCCCTTTTTTTCCCCGCCTTGAACCGAAACGTTTCCGATTTGCATCTTATTTTGGACTTGAATAGTGAGTTTGATAGGTGGATTAATTTTGAACGAATAGTCCCTTTTGGAATGTTTTAAAGCTTTCTTTTGAATAATTTTGGATGATTCCCCGCGCAAGTCGTTTTGGGTCGGGCGCAGAAGAGCCAAATTATAGCCAAAAGCGATAGATTATTTATATTGTTGAGTGGATTGAATTTGAACGAAGATGCGCATTTGGAATGTCTTAAAACTTCCTTTTGAAAAATTTTGATGCCTCGGCGCGCAAGTCGTTTTGGGTCGGGCGCAGAAGATCCGAAAAGCGCTTAGTGAATTTTTACAGATAATGGGAGTCTTAAAACAACGAAAAAAGTAAGAAATGAGAGAACAGTGACGACCTGAAGAGAGTTCAGAGAAGCTAGATAGTTCTACTTTCTTTGCCTTCTGTTCAGACCAGCGTTGATCTCTAGCGACCTCACTCTTTTTTTTTCTAACATCAAACATCGGCTTGCATTTTCAAAGCCCATTCGTTTTCAGTTTTTTTATGAGAATCCGCTTCAAAAACCAAAAAAAGTTGAGACAATCTGAAATTATCCGATATAGGACTTGACAAGCTAGCGGTGAATAGACTATTGAATTTGAACTCACAGAAAATATTTCTTCTAACTCAAAAATTTGAAAAATGTCTCTTTTCTGGCTAGGAAATCACAGTTTTTCAAAATATCTAATCGCTTATTTTTTTCAGTAATTTGTTGAATAATATCGCGTGAAACTCTAGAAATTAGCATTTCTTCTGTTGTCGGAGGTGGACTCCATAAAATGCGAACGATTTATGTTCAGTGCGCCAACAAGAGAGCAGCTGCCTTTTTATGGTTTTGTTCTGGTCGAATGGCTTTGTAACTGGTTTCGGATTGACTTTGTAGAGGAAAATTGCGTCCAAAACTCATTCCTGGTCTACAGTAACCTTTAATCATCATCAATCGATGCTTCATCACAACTTTGATCCATTCGAACCCTCTATTTTTCTTGAATTTCAATACATTCGCCCGGCCATTGTTTTCGTGTCAACGCGCCGGCGACTTGTCAAAAAAGATCATGTCCTCCTGTTCCCAAAGGGCTATAATTTGTCGCGCCCCAAAACGCATTCCGACTGACCAATTCGGGTCTTGTGTGGACAGGCCCTCATTTTCACAACTTTTTGAAAATAATTCTTCAAAGGGTCTTTTTTGTACTTGGAAAAATTCAGAATTTCATGAGAATTTTAAGCTTTGATCTTCATTTTGTAGTCGTGAAGCTGAAGAGCTCAAATCAGAGCATTTTGAAAGGAGTTACGATTTTTTTCTGATTTGGCTTACCGGGGAATGGTCTCTGGTCACAGTGGATAACTATGAGAAACGTTATGGACTCTCAAAACTCGCGTTCGCGGTGTCCTATTGCGATCCGGCGGCATTGCCCAGAATCGGCTGTGTGGAGAAGTGGGGAGGAAGCGGAATTGTGCAAGCGGCATCATAGGTTCGGTCCCCACGCTGTGCAAACTTTTTACAATTTTTCTTTTTTTCAAGTTTTTTTGTGTAAGTGCTCTTTTTTTGAGTTTTGAAGACTGGAAACACGTTAGCGATAGAAAAGTCGGTATTTTCAGAGCTCATAGAGAATTTTTCTGATTATACATTAGAAAAAAATACACGTTGAAAAATCCTGAAAAAGGTTGATTTTACTAGAATCGGAGCATTTTTGGAGAGGTCAAGATTTTTCGATATTTTTTTGCTTCTCATTTTTTTGACTTAAAATCGAAATAATAATATTTTTGAAAGCTCATAGAGCATTTTTCGGCTCAAACAAAGCTTCATCTCAAAATGGATATGGAATAAAAAGGAGAAAGTATGGAAAATTGAGTGTCCAGACGTTTCTCCTTCGCTCTATTTGTCTGTCTGTCTCTATTTTTCCGCTGCTTTTTTTTTCAGATGTCAATGGAGCTAGAAACATCTCAGAGCATGAAAAATGACAAGATCAAAAAATTCCTCAATTTTATCTCTATGTCTTTTTCTCTCTACTTTTCCCACACTCTTTCGAAAAAAAAACCACCAAAAAGAGTACTCCATCAAAATTATGGGCTAATTGGTGGAGAATCTATCCGAGAAAAAGCGTTAATCTATGCAAACTATATAGGCCGTGAGAGCAACGCATGAAAAATGCGCATATGTTGACCCCTCCGCCCACGTAATTTCATTAATAGTCAAGTCCCCCCGTTCCCTTTTCTTAGGTTATACTCATTTCGATAGAGGAAGAGGGCTAGAGAGCAGGGAAAAAGTGGAGAAACGCAGGTGCGAAAGTTTTCTGGCGTCTCTTCGTTTTCACACTGTTTCACTCTTAAGGAGTTTCTGGTTTTTCTGCCTCTTCTTTTGACTTCTATACTCATTTCGATGGATGGCAAGGAGAGCTAGAGAGCAGGGGAAAAGTGGAGAGAGGCAAGTGCGAAAGTTTTCTGGCGTTATTTTTTTTTTTCCTCACTCTCTCACTCTTAAGGAGTTTCTGGTTTTTCTGGCTCTTCCTTTGTCTTTGACCATCTTTCTATAAGATGTTGTGAAAAATATGAAATGAGCTAGAGAGTGGGTGAATAATAGAGAGAGAAGAGAAGCTGTCTGGTGTCTCTTCATTTTCCACGCTCTCTGATTTTTTTGACTTCTCTAGCACATTTGAGCCATTAT